TTGATAATGAACGTTTAATTATTATTCGACAACGTGATGAACTTATTAAACAAATATCATTATATTTACCATTACGTGTTATTAATTATTATTTACGTAATGATTCTGATTTAGTATTATCACAACATTATCATATTAAATATGATCGTATGGCATTATTATATATTCATTTTTTACCATTAAATATTGAACATGAATATTTACTTATAAATTATATTAATGATATTGAATATTTATTAAAAAATAATGATAAATATATTGATATTGTTATACATAAAAAATCAACAATTAAAGAAATAATGTTTTCAATTGATATAAATACAGATGATTCAATAAAAAATCTTCAACAATTAGTTGAATTATTATTTCAAATTGATGAACGTTTAAAACAAATATCATCATCAACAATAAATCTTGCTGCTTGTTTACATATTGGTTGTGTACATGAAATATTAATACATTTTGAAAAATCACTTAAAATTGATCTATGGAGTGAACATATTACACTTTTACAATTACTTATTAGTAAAACACAAGTTAATCATTGTATAACAACTGCACCAATATATCATTTATTAAATGATCTTTATTTATTTCGTACAGCTGGTTCAATTGTTAGTACACAAATTCATACGGCTAATAATACAAATATTTATTATCTACTTGGTCGTCTTATTGGAGATAATGTCTTTCAGGTAAAATATGAAAAACAAAAAAAAAGACTTTAAAAAGAAAATATTCAATATATTATTAAATAATTTATTTGATAAGTATCATCGATTGAAAAATATTCTAGAATCATTTTATTTATAAAGAGTCATTCATTTTTCGAAAGTTAAGATCAATGTAAATTTCACACAAAGTCTATGAAGAAGATCATCAAGTTCATCAATTTGATATAAAGATGAATGAAACCGAAGATTCATATTTGATGATCTTCTCTCGTAACAACATCGAAAAGAAAGTTTACTGAGCTCAAAACGTTCAATCCTATATAAACTCTTTCCGGATGATAAAGTTTATTTAAGTCAAATAGCAATAATTTATTAATATTAATTTTTCAATTATGAAGAAATCTATGAAATATTATTTATTCTTTTGTTTTTTTCAGGGTCGTAATGCTCTTCCATTAATAATAGGTCATACAAATGTAGGTACTGTTCAAAAATCTTCTAGTACAGACGATTCTCATCATTCCCAATCATCTGAACTTCATTGTAAATTAAATTCTCAAAAAGAACAAAATCATACACAAGCATCAACAACAACAACAACAACTACATCATCATCAATCGCTCTTAATGAACAACAAACACTTCTTAAACAATCATCATCATCATCATCATCTCGTAAACATGTACGAATATCAAATCATCTTTCATCAATTGAAAATCCTTCCTATCGTCAAACACTTTTACAAGCATTAAATGCAACAACTAAAACTAATATTAATAATAATAATAATAATAATAATATTCAACATCAAATAAGTCCTATTAAAAAATTATCTAATCGTTTAATAACAAAAAAACATACACCATCACCAATAGCAAAAGAATTTTATGTACCACGTATGACACATTTAAGTGATAATAGTTGTTGGTCATCAAGAGAAGCCATGATACAATCAGAAACAAGTGGAAGTAAATGTTTAATTTTAACACAACAAATGCTAAATGGATCAACAGGTAAAAAAAGAAAATTTTTTTCTTACACTTTGTTTTTCATTCATAATGCTTATTTCTTTTTATTTTTTTGTGTATCGTAGATGATAATAGTCGATGTAAATCAACACCACCACCACCACCATCATCAACTCGAATGTCATCATCAAATCGTCATTTATCAATTGAACGAAAAAGTTTTACAGAAGAAGATTTTCGTCAATTACTTCAAGAACAATCAATAAAAGATATTAACAATCCATCTCGAAGTTTGTCAATAACAAATGAAGAAACAACATCATCATTTTCTGGTTGGGATGATATACCATCATCACCATTACCAAGTGTTAAATCTAATCATGTAAACATTCAACAACAACAACAACAACAACAGGAATCTATTAAACCTACATCATCACCACTTGTTGATTGTTATTATCCACGTCGTCCATGTGATTTATCATTTACAGTTAATATGACAACAATTGAAGATGATAATAGTAGTCGAACTGATGCTAAATCAACAGTTATTGCTTCACCATCATCAACTGTTGTTACAATTACTTCGCCCCCACCACAGCCTCCACCACCATCATTACCATCACCACCACCACCACCACCGCCGCCGCCGCCACCACCAATACAACCGCTCCAACCAACACAACCATTATCTATTACTAAACCAACTGTTATTACATCTCAATCCCAACAACAAATTCCAAGGTATCGACCAGCACCATTTAATTTAGCACGTAAATTAATAGCTGAAACATCTGAAAGTGCTCTCTCAGAAATGTCTATTGAACATCAACATGAGCCGTGGACACAAAATAATGCTTATCAATCAAAAGATCCTCAACGAACACGTCTTTCATCAAGTTATAGTAATTTACATGACTTTTTACAAACAAATGACTCATCAAAGTAAATTTTTAAAAAAATAATGAGAAAAAAAAAGAAACAATTATATTTTATGGTTATTTGTTTTATAAATATTTCTAGATATCGTCCTAAACAAATTCAATCACCAACAATAATTCATGGTGATTTATTACAACGTTGGCTTGAAGATCAACTTAATCTATTTCGATATCAAGTTAAACAAACTCCATCATTAATAACAAGAAAAACGAATCGATTTTCAAATACTATTGTTATTAAGAATGATTCAACAGATGATGAGTCTGATACTGTTAGTGAACATACATTTACGGCTTTAACAAATCAATCAAGTTTACAATCAAAATCTACATCATCAAATAAACGTCCATATAATCATGTCAGATATAAACCATTACGAAAAAATTCAACACAAGCATCAAATCTTATTCGACATGAATCTCTTAAATATCGTAATAGACCATTATCATTTGAAAATAATCCTCAATTAAATAAAACAGTTTATAATTATCAATCAAATTCAATTAAAAGACCTCCTCATCGAACTGATTCTTCATCAATGCCTCGTTCAGATTTAAGTGATATATCATCATCTAGACCAGATAATTTATCTGAAAGTATTATATCAAATCTTGAATCTGAATATGATAATATATATACTCAACCAATAAATTCAAATACAACAACAACCATTATGACTAATTCACAAATTATAAGTGATGAAGATGATGATGATGAAACTACTTTAGCAACAACAATAGCAACAAATAATCGATGTTACTTTTAAATAGTTGTGTTTTGTTTTTGGTCATTTTCTGTTTTCGCTTTTTTTTTCTTTTTTTTTTATATATCTTTGATGTGTTGTCATTAAAAAAAATAAATGTATGCTTAATAGGATATAATAATTAAAATATACATAAAAAGAAAATTCGAGTGAATTTTATTTTTTTATTAATTTTTATATATGGTTCGATAGAACTTGAAGAGTTGTTACTTTCGAATACATAATTTTTTATTTTAGTTAAGTTATTCCTTCGCTGCAAAAAAACTTCAAATATTTTCAATGCCACATATATAAGCAAAATCATATTTTACTCGAAAGACTTCGTAAGTTTTCATAATCTTTTATTTTTTCTCAAGTTTTTGAAGATAGTTATTTTTTCTAGTTCATAATTAAAAATTCCATAGAAAAATCTTATTTTTCTAGATATAACATAACTTAAATAACATAAAATAATGCTATCAAGATATTTATAGACCTTTTTGTAAACATGTCTACATTCTTTGACAGAAGATAAGACCTAATTCTTTCTCTCATTGGAATGAGACAATTTGTAGCGAGAAAAGTACTCATTTTGTTATATTATTGAGAAAATCGAACATTTCCTTGTTTTAGTAGTTTACAGACTGACAATAGTTTTGTTCATTGAAGTTTCATAGATCAAAACTCAATTCAAAAACAAAATCAATTATATATCCAAAGTTAACATGAAAATCTATATCGAATTGCATATATTTCAGCAAAATCTATGTCAAATAGAAAATTGTTGAGAGAGAATACAAGTTCGTTAGTCGTCGTTAAGTGATTTTCTTAACCTTCCACCCACAACAGAGCCTAAAGTGATGTAGTGTTGATTACAAGTAGCTTATCAATAGTGTAAGTAATTAAAGCTATATATAAGATAAAGTACATAATACAATGCGTAAAGACCATATGAATCATGAGCAACATTTTGCACAGCATCGAATCACTTTGTTGTACAAGAAAAGAGGATACACCATCAACAAATCAGTTACTTGATATGTGTAGAGTAGAACAGCATTATATCAGCATGGTTCTGTGGGAGGGAAGACTAGCATAATGCTAATTCTAGAAAAAACAAACATGTTGCATTTTTCACCATTTATTGCCAACTAGCTCTTCAAGTTCTATCAAACTATATATATAAGTCAATGAAAAATAAAATTCACTCGAATTTTTCATTATGTGTACCTAATGTTATTAAAGTATACAATCATTGATAGATGTCAGTATTTTTCTTTTTATGTGCCACCTATCGTCATATCTAGATATTCTTCTGAAGAGAAAACAAGCAAACCGTTCTGTTCGCTTCAGAAGGAAGATAAAAACCCGTCTGGTTAAATAAATTTTCTTATTCTTCGTCGAGAAAAAGAAAAGAGTAGATTGTATGACATTCTTCATTCTTGTTTCCTATCGTACACACTGACGTCGTTTTTTCCTTGTGTTGATATGAGCAACGGCCGATTTGGCATTTTTTTTCTCCTAGATCACTCATATGAAACCATCCAATCAAAATCTTTTCCTTCATGTTAGGAACATTCTTTTTTTTTTGCACGTATTACTTATCTATTTAAGAATATATTCATATCGGCATTGACTTATTATTATTATTATTATTATTATTTTATTCAAATATGGGTTGTTGCAAATCAACACAATATGGTTGTTGTATTGCTATTGATCATGATGAATCAATAATACTTAATAAACCAACAGGTAAAGAAATTCGTTATGGTCCTGGTTGGTTTTGTTTTCCAAATTGGTGGGATGCACAAGTTATGAAATCTATACCATTACAAAATAATCAATATATTATTGTTAAACATATTATTGATACAGATGATAAAAATGCATTTCATGCACGTAATGATATACCATTAACACAACGAACAACTACAAATGAAAAAGATGAATTATTAAATGATTCTGAAATGCATTTAATTGAAATAATTCGTGGACCACAAATATATAAACTTAAAAATCCTTATGATCGTTTAAGTGAAATAAAATCAATGATTAATTTATCGGCAACACAATATATTTCTGTAGCAGATAAATTAACAGGTGTAAAACGAGTTGAATGTGGTCCACAATTATTTTGTCCTAAACCATATGATGAACTTGGAGAAATCAAAAATTTGTATAATCTATCATCAACAGAATATCTTATCGTTACAGATCAATCAACTGGTGAAAGAGCTACAATTAATGGTAAGAATGAGAAACATGAAATTGATTGAGAACATGATATATATATATATATATATATATAGACAATTTTTCAAGATAACTGCTTCAGAAAATACAAAGAGGATTTTTATCAAAGAAAAGATCTTCGATTTAATGTTCGTAGTAGTATTGTTCATATTAACTGATTATTAGAACTATGTGAGTATATTAACTGAAAAAATGTTTCGTATGATAGATGGCGTTAATTTGTGTTAGGTACAAGAAGATTAGGATATATGATAATTTGAACTATTATGTATAGGTCGAACATACTAAGTATTGACGAAAGTACTTCTTCAACTGTTCTCTTTCAATTTCAATGACCTTTTGCCTGTAGATAACACATGCTGTTCTAATAAACAGGTTTTTTGGAAAATGCATATTTGCAAATTTTGATCTGGATATGAAACTTTCGAGATATAGATTCTTTTCCATGAATTTAGTTAGGTTCTCTGTGAGTGCAAAATTTCGAATCAAAATTTGATTAGCTAAATTTCAATAGGAAGCGAAATTCTTTTCAGATTTTTATTGTGATATTATTTAGTATCTATAGACAAACATTCATTGAAATCAGAACGGGACATCTGAAGACATTTCCTTATTAGCTTCTATATACGTGAAAATTGAGGCATTAGAAATAATAATGTCGTTTATTGTTCTGCAATGATATAACAACATACTATGTTGACGTAGGACAACATAGCAATAGAAACATTGATATGAAAGAAGCACATAAAGTAAAGGCTTTTCTGAAGTCAAATATTACTTTTTCTATACTACTGTCATTGTGGGACAAAGTCTTAAATAGATGTCTATCTGGTAATAGATGTTGTAATAATTTCTTTGAATATGAAAGACGTTTATATAGATTCACTTTTAAGTCAATTCATTATTGCTAGGATTTCTACTAGTATGTAAGTCATCATTGTATGGTTTCTAGATTAATTTTAGTTTGTGTTTTACGAGAATGGATTTAGAAGGAACTTTTTAGAAATTTCATGAGATCGAAACAATGTTTTTTTTTTTGTTATTGAAAAATATCATCTTATCGTATGAACTTGTTCGAATAAATCTGATTTCGAACTTCAAAGATTCGTATTTTTATTATGTTTACTTCTGTAATAATTTCACAAAATATTACAGAACAAAACTTTTAAATATTCTTGATTTCTTCAAACTTTTATAAATAATACTCAACGCTTCCAAAATAATCAGTACGTAAATCGAAAATTATTCTTTCTGAAAAAATTCTATGAAACAAGAATCAAAATTTTGACAATTATTTAACTTCTCTTGTCATTCATATAGTTACATGTATAGTGATTACTACAAAATATTAGTACGCTCTCCATTACCTTTTTATTTTTCTACTATTGAAACTCCTCTAGCATTACTACGTCTATTGATTGTAACCGCTAATTGCTTTTTCTTTCTCTCTCTCTCTCTCTCTCTGTCTGTCTTCTATGTGGAATATACCACGACTGGGGTGATAAAGTAATCTAATTAACATATGTCAAGAGAGCGGTGATAATGCTGCTTCAGGCGTTTGTTTTTCTATGTTTCAAAAACATCCACTTAATACAAATTTCGACAAAAATAAAACTTAATTTCTATTTTTTGTTGTTGTTGTAAATAATCGTGCTCATCCAAAAGGGATCCATGGTAAATCTTTTATTATTATACAAGCAATGGATTGAAATTAGACGAATTATATTGTTGCTTTCTGTATGTTATAATAGTGATGTTTGATTTGATTTATTATTAAATCAATATCTTTATGAATTAGTTTTTACATCCATCAATTTTTTTTTTATTATCTCTATTGATAGTTCATTTATAAAACTAGCTCATTTATATGATTATTATCATTGATCAACAGTTAATACAGTCTATGCAAATAGATGCTTTTAATCATGCAAATTTTTTCAATCCATATTTAATCTTGTCTGACAAAATGTGAAATAGTATCAAATACAGACATATTTGTGTTGAATATATAATGAATTTCTTTTTTTGTCAATTAGTAGAGTAAACCAGAATGAATGCGATATATTGCAAAAATTAATTTTCATAATTTACTTCACTTCATTTAAAAAAAAGGTGTTAGCACAATTCTTTACAGGATTAAAGTGTGAAGCTTGATATTGCTGTTGTTCCTAATTATATGAATATTGTTTTATTTTATCTATGTAGAACTACATTTTTGTATCATCCTTTACTTTATACTCAAGAATTGCAATTAGAAAATGTTATAGTAACAATGACTGTCACCGTCTCCCATTAATATCTGTTACAATCTATAATGACATTTGGAGTCTGGAGACGGTCTGCGACGACTTGTAGGAAAGGACTCAAGACTGGGTACAAATTTTCACCCTATATTTTTTAAAACTGCTTTTAGAATGTATTTCACAAAGTGTAGAACAAAATATGAGAATATTTCATGAAGTTGAATATTATTATATTTATTCATGTATGAGTTTTTGATTAGTTCTATATTGGTATTTGAATAGAAACAATTAAAAAAAATGTCGTTTGCTTTCCTTCGTTTCGAATATTGCACATTGTTTTTTTTTATATATAATGAAATATCCGTAGAAATACATCAGTCTGCAAAGTAGGTCTACAATAATTGATTAATATAAAAATCAGTCAAGAAAATTACAATAAAAGAACAAAAGTTTTCGGTTGTATAATGGCAGATGTAAGATATAGGTCTTTTTGCACCTACCACATATCAACATCCAATATTTATGTTCTCAAAATGCTTCTTTGTCTTAGGTCGATTGTTCTATTAGAATTAATTTGAATATAACTTCTATGAATCTAAAAATTTTAAGTTCTGACAAGATATTCTAGTTCATATGTTACATGTATTAGAAAAATATATGCTCATTTATAATGATTTACAATTTGTTAATAGCATCTTTCATCTAATTTCTTTTTTTGTATTCGTTTAGCTTATGCGTCTAAATTGAAGTTTTCATTAAAAAAAAAAAGCTTTAGCTCTTTTATTATAAATTTCTGAACTAGATATATTTCGCTTTCTTGTACAAATTTTTAATAGATTTCTTTAAAAATCGAAGAAAATTTGAAATTTAGTTTATTAAAAAAAAAAGAAGTCTTTCTAATGAATTGAAATTTGTATTTTAATTTAATTTTCAAATTAATTAAATCATTATGAAAAACAAAACGTGTTTCTTTTTAGGTCCAACATTGTTTTTACCAAAAGCATACGATCAAATTTCACCAATATTTAATTATATAGTTCTTAATCATACACAATATTGTCGTATAATTGATAGTCGTACAGGTGTTATGCGTATTGAAAAAGGTCCAAAAACTTTTGCACTTGGTCCATATGAATCTTTAATGAAAGTTCATGATCAAACCATATTTGATATAATTAATATTGATACAGAAAATGCTGTACTTGTTAAAAATCTTGATACAGGTCTTGATGAATTAATAACAACACCACAAAAATTTATTCCATCATTTACACAAAGATTTATTGAAATAAGAAAATTAATTAAATTAGCACCATGTAAGTATTTATTTTGATTTTTTAGAAAGAAAGTTATTGGTTTTTTTTCTATTTAAAAAAAAAAAAATTCTAGATGAAAATATGATTTTAATTGATAAGGATGGTCATCATATATTAAAAAATGGTTCAAAAGATAAATCATTTTTTATTTATCCTTATCAACAAATTTATACTCAATCTTGGTCAAATGATCTTAAAAAAGATCATCGTTCAACTATTCAAGTTGATCGATTTGATACAAGAAATCAATGTAAAATTAATTAGATTAACAAAACTTTTTTATTTTATTTTTTTCAATAGATATGGATTATGAATTTCTTGTTCGTACGGCGGATAATGTTGAAATTATTCTTGATGTTTCTATTTTTTGGCAAATTACAGATTTATATAAACTTGTTCTTGTTACACAAGATCCACCAGAAGATATTTGTAAGTTTATAAATATATTCATGATTAAATAGATTACTTAAGATTGTTTGAAGTGTTACTGTTGACCTTAATACAATTCAGAAGTTGTAAAAGAAAAAAGTGTAAATTCGTGGTACGACAATTAATAACATAGATAATTTTTTCGATTAGCTTTTCATTCTAATATCGTTTGTTCTCAAATTAAGCTTTGTAATACATTATGCATTCATCATTTCAGACATAAACAGTGAAAATTCGTTGGAAAAGTTGTCAATCTATCTCAAGTATTTTTATGTGACTCACGAAGATTTTTAACTTTCGGACGAGCTTTATTTTAAAAAAAATCAGACAAGTGAGTTTTGATCTTAAAATTTACGTATAAACAGCTCTTGCTGTAATTAGAATCTCCTAATAATTTCAGCTGAAAAAAAAGTGAACTCTTCTCGAGATATCAAATCCACACAAAATCATGATATTTTATCCAAGAGAGGCAAAATGTAGTTTTTTTTTTGTAGACTTGACATCTTGAGAAGTGTCTACTCTTGTTGACTGATATTGTTAGAAGACTCGAATAACTTCCAGAGCTGTCTATTGGTAAAACTTTAAGTGAAAACTCGCTTGTTCGATCTGATAAATAAATATCATCCTAAAAGTAAAAAATCTAGTGTAATACTCATAACTTCAAAAAGGTAGTGTATCTTCCAATCTCAAGGAGCTCTATGTAATAACTAAGGTTTCATTTTAAAGGCGAAGTATTATCGTGGATGGTTTCCTTGTAAGAAAAAATTTTCTTGTGATAATTATCTTGCTATCATTGCTGATTTAATTTAAATATTGAAAATTCAGACGTATTCTTATCTTCAAACTATTTAAATGGCGAACTAAGCCGCATTCGAGAATTTAAAGATAACAAGAAATGATAATGAAACAAAAATTATAACATATTTTTGTTTTAACTACACAAGACTATATACGACATATTTATAGTTTTTTTTTTCAATAAATTTCTTGATGTTTGTGACTGAGATTTTTAAGTATACTGAGAAACAAAACATGCATCTATAGTATACATATGAAACCAAATAGTTAATAAATGTAATTTTTATTTGAATCACGAAAGTGTACAGTTTTTTTTTCGCTGACTGTTTTCCATTGAAGTCACTTGTACTATTTCAAAACATTTTTTTTTTGTTAACATATTTCTTATGCATAGGAACTGTGAACAATTCTCTATATCAAGAGTGAAATGATCAACCTGTTTGATGAATTCATTGATACAATCAGATTTATCTGTTGCTACTATCTGATATATTTTAATTGTACCAAAAAAAAAACGAGTCACTACTTCTGATGTCTTAGCCAAATATTTGCTCCTAGTTTGATTTTTTCCGTTATATGATAAAATATATAACATTATTTAGGTAACAAAAAATAAAACGAAGAAGCTATTACTATTATTTTACTATGACAAAAAGATTAAATTGAAAGGTTTATGAGCAATAAAATTCCATATGGTATATGCAATTCTCTATTATGATTTGAATGCAGTAGTAGACGAATTTTAAATATTGATTATGGAGAAAGAATTTAACAATGAGTAAAGAGTACAGCGGCCTTCGCTATAAAGCAATTTTTCTAACACTCATCTGAGAGAGATTATCTACTCTTTTCTATTAAGAAAGAAATCCAAAAAATGAATTCCTAAACAAAGAGACAATACAGAATCAAACTGACAACTATCTTACAATATAAATAAATAAAATATCATCAAGAAAAATATTGTACGATAATGTATTACATTTCCTAAAATACAAAATAAAAAAAAAAACAAAACTTGAAACTTTTCTAAAAAAAATAATCAATTATCGTTTTCTTTTTCGTCGTTAGGTAATCATACTCGTTCTGAAATATTAAGTCAAGTATCAAAATATAATATGAAAGAATTTATGGGATTACCAAACAGTAAATTAATTGATTCTGTTAATTCTGAAAAAGATGATACATTTTATGAATCACGTGGTGTTAATGTAATTCGTGTTGAAGTCTTAGAAAAACGTTGTAAAGATCCTGAAATTCAAAAAATTTTTAAACAAATTATTGATGAAAAAACAAATCGTATTAAAAATATTGAAAAACAAGAAGCAGAAAATGAAATAAAATTATGTGATTTAAATGGAAAAATTGAAGCAGAAAAATTAAATGGAACATTATTAAAAATTAAAAAAGAAAATGAACGACAAGAAAATCAAGCTGATGGTATTGCTGAAGGTAGTCGTATTCAAAATTTTATTGGAAATCTTGGTGATGATATACCATTAGAAAGAAAATTACAAATTTATTTTGACATACAAAATACAAGACGTTTAGATTTATTAGCACAATCAAAAACAACATTATATGTAACACCAAAAGAAGTTGATACTAAAGTTATTAATGTTAATACAATCTATCCATCTAATACTAATCCTATTCAAACTAATATTCAATCAAAATTAAGTATTGACGTTTAATGAAATAAGAACATTTCTTCAATAGACATATTCATTTGATTTTCATAATTATTACTTTGTATACCAAAATTAGTGTCTTGCGAGAACGAATATTTCTCGATTCTCATTCCCATAATGCTTTTAAAATCCTATTATGAATCCATATTTCGAGTTGGAGAAAAAAGCATCATTATTAAATACTAGGTTCTATCAATATCATACTTTACGTAACGTAAGATAACTTTAAATTAGAAATAAAATTATCATTGGAGATAGTTAATTGTTAACAAAAAAAAAAAATTATTTATTAATTATTGTAGCAAACTTTATCAAAGTCTAGTTAGAAGAACTATTTTCATCATGAACGCGAAATAAAAAATGAAACTATCTTATCGGTAGAACCGATAACAAAAACAAAATACGAAAATATTCAAGAGAAGAAGATAATAATAGTAATGATATAGTGTTAAATTATCTGAATAATAATCCTTGCGAAGATGATAATCATCAAAAAAAATTGTAGTTATGCTAGTTGAATGATGATTTAATGAATAATGAATTCACTTGTCTAATTTTGATAAATTAGTATTTAATATTTTTCTTTTAATTAATAAGTAATGCCCAAATCCTTTGGAAGAATATCGAAATCTATGTCTCAACAATTCTAACATCGGATTGACTTCGATATATTTTGTTTGAAAGATCGATGTTTGAAGAATATTTAAATAAAAAAAAAAAATGACTTGTGAGTTCGTATAATTTTAATATTGATCGCATCGTCAAGTCTCACGGGAAATGGGACGAGAAAATCGTTCCTGCAGGACACTAATAAACATTTTATTAAAATATAAACAAAGAAATATTATAATATATATATATATTGAAATGAAAATAACATAGTCATGTGTTGCTAGGGCCTGGTGAACATTCGTTATCTCAACAATAAAACAAAAATGAAAAGAACATTACTGCATACAAAATGAAAAACTCCAGACTGTAAAACATGTCACACGTTTGAAAATACAGCTTTCGGCATCTGGAAAATGTGAGAAAAATTATTTTTACAAGATGTCGATATGTTTTGTGCGTGACGTATGTCAAAAATATTGTGAGAAAAGTTTTTGGACATTTTCCCGATTGAAAAAATTACGTTTTTACAATGTATTCAAGCACTTTTTGTGATTAAATTAGCAAGTTTTAGTGTTTTCTAAATGGATATCAAAAAAGCTCAAACGGGAGTCATAATTAAGATGTTTAAATGCGTTTTCATAAATTCTTGATACAATGATCATCATGATTTTTTGCAAAACAAAATAAAGAATAATAAAGATTTATAAGTATTAAAATTTCACATTTTGCATTGTAGTAGATATCCATGATTGTTTTATGTAAATAAATAGGCGTTAACTACAGTATGACATTCAAGATGATTTACATAATGAAAATATATGTATTCTGATGATGCTTTGAATTAATTTGAAAGAGATTCATATTCAGTTAGTTCAATGTGATATGTCAAATAGTAAATACAAAATAAATCGATTTACAGTAAAACTTCTCTAATCTGAGCACTATTGGGACCGACCGAAAGTGCTCAGTTTACTGGAGTGCTCATTATGGGGAAGTTTTCAATTTCTTTTGTGAAAAACTGAGATAATCACTTGAAAACGCTTTCCAATTGGACGAATTGTTCTTATTCTACTTTTCAAAAAATTTATTTATTTAAGTGAATTTCTCTTTTCTGAAGTAACAACTTTTTGTACGATACAAAACTAAGTTTTTTTTTTAAATAGCCTTTTTTTCTCTTCTAATACGTCCGTTCAGTCTATGTCGGTCATATATGTGCTCTTTTGTTTTTTTATTAAAGCAGACGACATAAAATCATTCGTTTTCTCGTCGAAAGTGTGAGTTATAGAATAAATATTGCTCACATTACAGAGATTGTTGTTGCTCATGGGACCAATAAAAAGGCGCTCACTAACAGAATAAGGAGGTGCTCATATTCCAGAGACTCATTCCCAGCGAAATTCGTTTAGACGGACCGGAGGCTGCTCAGTATAGGGTGGTGCTTGTTATTGAGAGGTGCTCACATATAGAAGTTTTACTGTATATTTATTTTCTTGTTATTGATGAATCATTCCAGAAAATATTACTAGTATTAAAAATCTTGAATAATATATATGAAAGAATGATTATGAGTGTAATACCTCAGTAATTAATGAATATCTTACGAAATTTTACAATTTTGTTTCTTCTTGCTTATAAATTGCTCATGTATAAATATCTATTAATGTCCAAACTAAGATTTCGTTCAATTTTGACTTAGTTTAGGAAAACCTTGGGCTGCAGATTGATCTTAAATTTGGATATTTGTCGGTCAAATTTGATGAAGTGATGGTTTGCCAGTTAATACAATCATTAACAGATGAGTTAATGCTTCTTCACTCTCGTTCTCTCAAACGAATTTGTTTTTTTTGAAGAAAGATACTTTTTTTGAGATAAATATATAAGCATGACCCCTAAAGTGTCCAGTTTGAAAAGTTCATAAAAATAACTTGGAATTCTAAAAGGTTTCTACAGAATTCATGATGATTTTCTAGATGTCTCTAATAGGAAGCCTAATACCTAAACCCATAGGTAAATTACAAGCATAATGACAGTTACCGCTCCCATCCCAGCTTAACGTATAGTTAGGAGATGACTTGATAAGACTCTAGATGAGCTTTTAATTGGCATCTAATATAATCATATTTGATTCTCATATCAGAAAATTCTTTATGTCATATACAAAAAACAGAATGTTCATACGTTTTTCTTGATATGGGGTTATTTGCATAAATTGTCAAATTCCGAAGTATTTCTTTCTCAATAGTGTTCGTTCTAGTAAACTTCATGGCTATGTTTTTATTCTATAGATTAATGCATCCTCTTTCAAATGAGAGAAAGAAATTTTGCTTTTTGAACTTTAATATAAAAGTGATCATGGATCTTCTAGGAAACATTGTCTAAAATTTTGATGATCCCAAAAATGAAATGAAACTAAAATTAAAAAAGTCCTTTCTTTCATTCGAAGCGGTCAGAAGTTATTTTTTAATTAAGAGTAATCTAAGCGCTGTTGCTTGAAGTTTTTTGAAAAAATATTTTTACTTGGAAATGTTCTATAATGTATTATGGCGGCTGAAAAACTCCTGAACGATAAGATCGTCAAAATTTCTTTTTAAATGTATTTTCATTAGTCAAACATCTTCAGAAGATTTCATGAAGCTCTCATGCAGTGTAGCGAACATCGATTTTGAAGAAGAGAAGTCTTAAATAAAGGTTGAAGCAGCAATAAAGTCTTTCAGGAAAGCAGTGTTGGTGTATAAAATCATCCATAAATCCACAAATTCAAGCTTAATTGATCAACTATAATTAAATCAATTGAAATACGATCTGTTTCATTAGAATTTATCAATAAGAATCTCAATGCACTATCAATTTAAATATTTAAGTTTTAAATTGAGTTTCTCTTACAATTCCACATTGAATGCGCCTTATTTCAGATCCAAAATTCAGCTAAACTAATCCAAGATTGAAGAGATCATGTCAGTTTGAATGTCATCACTTATATATATATATATAGATTTGAATTTACTCTTTAACAATTGGCAGTAAACTTGTTTTCATATGAACTATCGACGAAATACGACATTCTCTTTTTTGTATTGATTTCAGGAGTTTTTTCGAACTGAATGAAAACACTAGGGAGAAAACGAATTATTTCCCAGTTGGTTATAATTATACGATACGCATCTATGTCGAAATAGTAGTTTCTATCAAGAGAAATTAATCTCTCGTTCCTTTTGACTCAACTTCTTAACCTTTTTGTTTTTTTTAGAAAATATCAAGATAAAATAATCTATTCATAACTTAAACAAACAGCTATTTGAAGCCTAATTTCATCAACAGAATAATGATAATCTTGAGCAACATCTAATATTAATTTTAAAGTAAATGATCATATTACAATCTCAGATCCTTTAGCTGAACAAGAAAAATTAATATACAAAAACTAATTTTTAACTAATTATAATTTTCTTTAAGTTTTTTCATATGCATATACTCGAGTACAATATGATTCTAAGCTAAAACAATCGATTAGAATATTTTTTTATGTTTCATCAAAGCTTTTCAGATGTTGAAGAAAGTTCATTGTTTCCATTACTAGATCGATAACATTAATTATTATTGATTACAAAAGCAATATACGAAAAAAATAAAATAAAAATAAAAAGTTTTTATTTTTTTTTTAATTGTCAAGTTTTCGTTGATTAGATATCAATAGAAAAAAAAAATCAAAAATATTAAATGCATTTTAATCTCAAAACTTAGATTTTTTTTTTTCTTTTTTTTTTCGTTCTTTCATTTCTAATCGAATAACAGAATGAAAGAAGAAGAGGAAAAAACCTTGAGCTTAAAAAAATAATCTCTAATTATATATGGGAAAAAACCTCGTTCGATAAGCAGCTTTTTCACATAGATATATATTTATATATTTACTATATAAAAGATGATAAAACAAGATATTATGGAAGTTCAATCAAATTTTAGTAAGAAAAATTAGAATTAATGTTTTAGAGAAGTCTTCTTTTTTGTTTCTTTTTTTTTAGACCAATGTTATTGTTGTCAATCACGTTTAACCGGTAAATCACTACAATTTGCTATACGTAGTCGACCATTTCAAAATACTAACATTTATAAACAACCGTGTAGTATTTGTCGTAATGTGATGTTTAAACAAATCGAACAAACTCGTCAGATTAAAAATAATACAAGCAGTTTGAATAAAAATAAATGATTAAAATTTAAATATTTGTATGAGTTTTAAAATAAATAAATTAATATAAAAAAATAAACAAATTTGAAGTTCAATTATTTTTACTATATAATAATTATTTGCCCTCTTAAGAAGAAATAATGTCAAATTGTACTTATTTCTTTCTGTAAACGATTGGAGAATATTTTAACAAATCATAAAACTG